AGGTGGAACAGGGAAGCGGAGACCGACCAACCAAAGCGGTAGCATGTGGAGCGGAACACGGGAGGGTAGGCTAAGGCGGACTCAGACTTGGGAGCCGAGGTGTGGCGAAGGGACCAACGAACGAAAGCCGACGCAGCAGTAGACCGCAAAAGAGGAGGGCACCGGGACCATCCTGCGACAAGGCTGGGCGCCGAGCAGCCATCCCTCGGAGCCGCAGAAGGCCGGGCGGCGGCGCGGGGGAGACGCTCTGTCTACGCTTTCCCAGAGCTCGGTGGTTTAAAGATGTGCGCGGCATTGGGGGCGCGCAGTCGCGGGAGGGGAGGGAAAGGAGACTCTGTGAATCGCTTAGAGGCAGCAGGGCGGCTGCTGTGAGGAGTCCGGGTGCGGAGCTGCCCCGGCCCGGCCGCTCAGGGCGGGGCCGGGGCTGGCTGGGAAGAGTAGGCCGGAGCACGCCAGGAGCCGAGGCCAGGGCCAGGAGGAATGTGACCGGTCGGCGGGCGCCGGGAGTACCGAGCACAGGGAGTGGGGCGACAGTGGAGCCGCGTCGGGGAGCTCCGGGGCTCAAGCAGCTCAGCCCCGCGGATCCGGCGGCATCCATCGCAGCAGCCTCCGGCCGCAAGCGGGACTGGGCGGGCGCACACGAGACGGTCTTCAATGTCTGGTTAAGTATTTTGCACTTTATGGGTAGATGTGTGTGATATATGGATTTCGCTATTCGTCTTGCCAATCATTAGTATTTGCTGTTGGCAAAATAAATCTTTGATTTTCTTCACCCCGCACTTAGAATTATATACTATTACCAAGGAGAGTGGTGTTTATTTGAAGTGAGATTGATAAGTGGAAGTGTGAAATAATTTTGGGTGAAAATCACACTAGCGTTAATGTGTGAGTGTATTCGCCTCTGGGAGCCGCGGCTGAGGGCGTGGGGGAGCCGGGTGGGGCGCGTCGGGTGGGGTGTGGAAGGCTAGCTACCATAGTGAGTTCGATGGGGGTGGCGAGAGCTAGGAGATATGCGTGACCGGGACGGTATTCATGCCTTATGGCGGATTCCTGCGCAAGTGCGCGGAGGGGGATGTCACTCTTCTGCATCTAGGAATTATGTCTCGCCCATGTGAGACGATCGTACCCCTACATCTCTTCTTATATGGTTTTGAACTCCTGACCTTGAGCAATCCGCCCGCCTCGGCCTCCCAGAGAGCTAGGATTACAGGCGTGAGCCACCGCGCCCGGCCCAGTTTTTTAAATTCTCAAAAAACTTGATTATTCTCCTGCTATTCCTTTGGATTCCCTATTTGCTTTATAAAAAGTATCAGTTATTGGAGGTACCACACTGAAATTTTGCTTAATATTAGACAGAATGGGAGTCATTGCAAAGAAGAAACAAAACAACTACTGGAAATACATGGTTGGAGGAAAAGGTGGATGTAGCTCTCCATTACATGTCTCTCATGAGCCACGCTGGCCTTAGATGGACCATCCACTGACATAGATGTTGACTATTACAGCAGCATTATGAAATTATTCCATTGCCACCCAGGGTTTGGCCAGAAACAACTGAAATTACCTCCCCCCATAGGAACAGAAACACTATAACATTGGATAGAATATGAATTTTCCATTTGGATTAAAGTCTTCCTGGTTTTTTGTGTATTTGTTTGTTTGTTTGTTTGTTTTGTTTTGTTTGTTCTTTTTTGGGTTTTTTTTTTTTTCAGACAGAGTCTCATTTCTGTTGCCCAGGCTAGAGTGCCATGGCGTCAGCCTAGTTCACAGCAACCTCAAACTCCTGGGCTCAAGCGATCCTCCTGCCTCAGCCTCCCAAGTAGCTGGGCCTACAGGCATGCACCACCATGCCCAGCTAATTTTTTCTATATATTTTTAGTTGTCCAGCTAATTTCTTTCTATTTATAGTAGAGACGAGGTCTTGCTCTTGCTCAGGCTGGTTTCGAACTCCTGACCTCGAGCAATCCGCCCTTCTCGGCCTCCCAGAGTGCTAGGATTACAGGCGTGAGCCACCGCGCCTGAAGGATTCTAGTTATTAAAAAATACTTCCTGAAGATAAATTGAAACACACCCCTTGAAACTTCCACCTGTTTTGCCCTGGTTCTAGTTCTACCCAGCAGTTACACAGAACAAATCTAATCTTTATTCTACACAAAGTCCTTCAAATATTTGAAAGCTGTCATGTTTCCCCAAATCTTTTACTGCATACATGCGTATGGTTGTGTAGTTATATTTATCTGCCTATACATCTACATGGGCTGAAAATGTTTATGTAGATAAACTGAAAGAAAAAAAGTGTTGTCATTTTTTTAATTTTTTTCTTTCTTATTTTTTTCCAAATATTTTGTCCAAAAAAGATGTTGTCATTTTTTGTATAGCATTTATCTTAAGCTACTTATGTATGCACTTCTTTGGATTTCATTTATGTGTCGTTTGTCTCTGCATTGTTGTATTAGATCTTTAAATGCCTATAGAGTGCCAAATACAGTTCAACCTACAGATCGACACTTTAAAAGTTTTCTTGGATGACAATAATGAGGAAGAGGAGGAGGATTCTTTTATGGCTGGGTTGAATAAGTCATTTTCTTTGAAGGTAGGGAGATGGATTAAATGACTTCTTGTTGGTCCTTTTAGCCCCAAGAGTCTTTGATTTGATATTTCTTTGATTAAAAAACCTTATCAATTATTAAAAGACTATTTCAAACAATTGGCCAAGTGCTATATAAATTATCAGTAGCAATTAATTAATTATCAGTAGCAATATCTAGTCAGTTAAAATTAATAAATTAGTACTCATTTCCCTTTCAATGGTATAATGAAAAGCTGACTAAACAATCCACTTAACACGTAGCCTATGACTAACTGTGGTGTGGTGGACCTGGACCTGATTTAGAATTTGTGTGAAATGGGGTCATTTCAGTTATCTATTGCTGCATAATAAACCATCCCTCAAAGCCCACTGTCTTAAAACAGCAGTGATTTGTGACTTCTTACAATTCTATGGATTGGCTGAACAGTTCTTCTGCTGATCTGACCCCGAAAACAGTGTTTAGGGCTGTCTGGCCGAGAAGGTTTCTGAGAACCTCACCCACATGTCTGGCAGGTGGCACTGCTGGAAATTGGAGTGTCTCAGATCTCCTCCACAAGGCCCCTTGTTATGCTCCAAATTGTGCCCCCCTACCACAAAATTCATATATTGAGGTCCACTCAGAATGTGACTGTTTTGGAACAAAGTCTTTAATGAGGTTATCAAGTTAAAGTGAGGCCATCAGGGTGGTCCCTAATGCAATATGACTGGGTGTCCTTATAAGAAGAGGAAACTTGGACACAAACACAGTACACAGCTAAAGCAGCCACAGATGGCAATCACTCTTTGCAGGCTCTGAACACACAGGAAGGAGACACAGGGAGAGGATAACCATCCACAGACCCATGAGAGGCCTCGGAAGAAACGAGCCTTCTAGATGAGGCTAGAAGTCATCTCAGACTTCTAGCCTCCAGAACTGTGAGAAAATAAGTTTGTTATTTAAGCCACCCAGTCTGTGGTACTTTGTTACAGCAGCCCTAGTAAATGACAAGTAATGTGACAAAATTATTTAAAGAAAAGATAGAAAACAGTGATTTATAATGTTCTATTTTATTTAATAAATATTCAATGAGCACGTTGCATATACCAGGCACTGCACTAGCCGCTGAGGACGCCCTGGTAGTTAAGACCAACTCTCTGAGAATCTAGCCAGGAAGACAAGCATGGAACAAGTAATCACAATAACACGTTAATGAGTGTTGCTAGGTGACAACAGTTGCTATGGAAAGACAAAGCCATGTGAAGGTGAGATAACTGAGGTGGGAAACTTCTCCCAGGGCAAGGCTTAGGCTAAGAGGTAAGAGATATGTAAGAGTTAGCTAGGCAAAATGGGAAGAGAATTGCATTTTAGGGAACATTGAGAAATAAATTGAGCTTGCCTTTTTGCAGATAAGAGTCATAAGATATACAGTTATGAAGCTGGAGAGGAAACAAGAATGCTGAGGAAGATCTGTAAAGCCATTTTAAAGGAAAACTTGTCTCGCTCTTCTCTTCCCAGTTCTTCCCCCAGTCATCGGGAAAAGCTGGTTTGAGAGGGCAGAAAAAAAAAAAAAAAATGTGTCTTTGCACCTTCTTCATCTGCACCTGGCAGCTTTCTAGATAGCTCGATGGAAAGTGTGGTGTTTCCTGAAGCTACTAAACTACTTATTCACTAAAGGAAGGCTCTTATATTCACAATTAAAGAATGACACTTCTTGGCCAGGTGAGGTGGCTCACTCCTGTAATCTTAGCACTCTGGGAGGCCGAGTTGGGAGGATTGCTCGAGGTCAGGAGTTCAAGACCAGCCTGAGCAAGAGCGAGACCCCGTCTCTACTAAAAATAGAAATTATCTGGACAACTAAAAATATATATAGAAAAAATTAGCTGGGCATGGTGGCACATGCCTGTAGTCCCAGCTACTCGGGAGGCTGAGGCAGGAGGATCGCTTGAGCCCAGGAGTTTGAGGTTGCTGTGAGCTAGGCTGACACCCCGGCACTCACTCTAGCCTGGGCAACAAAGTGAGACTCTGTCTCAAAAAAATAAAATAAATAAATAAATAAAATAATTGCTGCTGAATAAAGAGTTTGGGTGCACCATAGAAACAAACGTGGATTAACATGCATTACTGTATCTATTCCTTGATTGTTCTATAAAACTGAGTAAAGTTATATTTCCTGATTCAGACGTTGCAACTAAAATACCTTGTTGGCAAACAAAAGGTTGATGACAAATGGGTTGGCCCCTTTACCATGGAGAGCTGATTCTGACAGGCACTACCAACAATCATGCTTTCTACAGTATATCAAGGGATGCCTCAAATTACAGGAACAGCAGCAGATGAAAATTCTTGCTCCCGGGCAGGCAGACGCTCCGCCGGCGCCCGCGGCAGCGCACGGCCTCGGTGCTTTCTGACCGACGTCCTCATTTGTGGGCGATGGAAATGGCACAAGAAAAGGTGCGCGGGGACAAGGAGCTGCGTCCGGGGTCGCCGCGCACTGCTGCTCCGCGGGCCACGGGGGCGAGACCTGGAGCTCCGGCCGCCCCGCCCCGCGCGCCCAGCCGCAGCCCGCCCGCGGCGGCACCGAGCGGCGGGAGGACGCGCCGCAGGCCCGGGGCGCGGCGGCGGGAAGGCGCGCGGGGCGGCGGGGCCGCGCGGGCGCCGGAGAAGGGCCAGGAGGCGCTGCGGTCGTCCGGTGAGCGCTCGGGGCCGCGCAGAGGAAGCGCGCTCTCCGCGCAGACCGCGGCGACTTTTCCAGCCCGACAGGCCTCAGCGTCTGCCGGGCGCCGGGCTGGGCGCCTCCCGCGGTCCCGGGCGGCGTGCCTCCGGTCGGGCTTCCCGCCCGGGCTCCCCGGGCTCCTGACACCGCTCGACTCGGAGGACTTTCGGTCCCACGTCACCCGGGTGATAGGGGCGAGCGGCTGTCCCTCGCAGCCCGCTGGAGGCCCGGGCGCTGAACGGGCCCGCGGGAGGGAGGTGCCCGTCCCCAGCCGGCCCAGCGAGAGCCGGCGGGCGGCGGGCCAGGCAGTGCCAGGTCCTGAACGAGGTGGCGATCGACAGAGGCCCTCCGCGTACCTGCCCAACGTGGACGACTACCTGGGCGGACACCTGGTCACCGCGGTGCAGGGCGACCGCAAGGCCCGAGACCTGCCCTGGGGCCCTGAGCGCCCTCTCGGCGGGCGTGACGCCTGCGCCCTGTCCCCGCCAGGAGCGACCGAGTCCGCCCCGCGGGCCGCCCGCCTGCGCTCGCCGTCCTGGGCCCGGCGCGGTCCGCGCAGGGCGGAGCCGAGGTCACGCCCGCCACGAGCGCCGCGCCCTTCGCGCACGGGAGGGACGGGCGTCGGCGCGGGCCGGCCAGCCAGCGGCCGCTTCCCGGAGGGAGCGGAGCGAGGCCGGCCGCGCCCCCGGCCGCACCCCGCGCGGCCCGCCTCCCTCGGGCTCCTCTCTGCTTTCCCGCGTCCCGCTCGCCCTCTGGGGACGGCAGTGCGCGCGTGGGCGAGGGGACGGGCACGCCTGTCGCCCGTCCCCAGCGGTCACCAGCTGCTGCCTGTCTGCTGTTGGGGAAGAGCCTGCGTCTGCCTTTTGTCGACCTGATCAGCTGTTTTTCAGCTTTTTAAATCTGACTTCTATTTTGCATTTCTAATGAGGCAAAGTGGGAGACGGGCCGAGAACTCCTGTCCCACCCCGCACTTGGTCCTGGAGCCGGCTGCCTGCCCCACGGCTCTGTATTAATAATTCCATGCCAGGGAATTCCACAAATCAGTCTACTGAGATTCAGAGGGTCAGAATGACTTGATCTGTCCTTTAATGTTGAAAATAAATGTCTCGGCCAAAAAAAAAAAAATTCTTCCTAGCTCATAGGTACTTTGTATCTAAACAAAGGAGTTTCAAATCATTTTCTTAAGATCCCAGAACTGTAGAGCCATCAGCATGCAGCTGCAGCTTGGAAAATCTACGGGCACAAGACTCTAATCTGTGAGAACTGCTGCATGGGCTGAACCTAGCAACGGCATAGGGATGGGACTGCATGAGGCCAGGGGGCCCAACCCCACCCCAGTGTGCCCAGGATGTGGGACATGGAGTTGAAGGAGGTTATTCTCCAGCTTTAAGACTTACTGCCACCCTGGTTGCAGTAGTTTACACCTGTAATCCCACTATTCTGGGAAGTGTAGGTGGGAGGATTGCTTGAAGTCAAGAGTTCAAGACCAGTCTGAGCAAAAGAGTGAGATCCTGTCTCTACAAAAGAAGCCCCCAGAATAAGCCTGGTGTGGTGACAGGTGCCTGTAGTCCTAGCTACTCAGGAGGCTGAGCTACTCGAGGAGGATCATTGGAGCCCAGGAGTTCAAGGTTGCAGTGAGCTATGATCATGCTACTGCACTCCAGCTTGGATGACAGAGTGAGACACTGTCCTAACATCAAACAAACAAACAACAACAACAAAAAAGACTTACTGTTGTTTTCCCTGTTGGATTTTGGACTGACTTGGACCAGTTACTTCTTTCTTCTTGTCTATTTCTCCCTTTTGGAACAGGAATCCTATATCTGTCCCACCCCTATATTTCAGAAGCACATAGCTTATTAATTTCTTAAGCTCATAATTGGAGAAGAATTTGCCTCAGGATGAATCATGCCTTGAGTCTCACCCACATGTGATTTAGATGAGCCTTTCGACTTTGGACTTTTTTTTTTTTTTTTTTCCGAGACAGAGTCTCACTGTATTGCCTGGGCTAGAGTGTAGTGACATATATCATAGCTCACTGCAACCTCTAACTCCTGATCTCAAGCAATCCTCCCACCTCAGCCTCCCAAAGTGCTAGGATTACAGGTTTGAGCCACCATGTCTGGCCTGGACTTTGGACTTTTGAGTTGATGCTGGAAAGAGTTAAAACTTTTGGGATGGAATAAATGTATTTTGCACTGTGAGAAGAAAATGAATTTTGGGGGCCAAGAGCAGCAAGCTTTGGTTTGAATGTGGCCCCAATGCTTATGTGTTGGAAACTTAGTCCCCAGTGCTAAAATGTTGGGAGGTGGGGCCCAATAAGATGTGATTAGGTCATGATGGCTCTGACCTCATGAATAGATTAATGTCATTATTACCAGAGTATGTTAAATATCAGTAGAATGGGTTTGCTATAAAACAAACAAACAGGCTGGGCGTGGTGGCTCACGCCTGTAATCCTAGCACTTTGGGAGGCCGAGGCGGGCGGATCGCTCAAGGTCAGGAGTTCGAAACCAGCCTGAGCGAGACCCCGTCTCTACCAAAAATAGAAAGAAATTAATTGACCAACTAAAAATATATATACAAAAAATTAGCCGGGCATGGTGGCACATGCCTGTAGTCCCAGCTACTCGGGAGGCTGAGGCAGGAGGATTGCTTGAGCCCAGGGGTTTGAGGTTGCTGTGAGCCAGGCTGACGCCACGGCACTCACTCTAGCCTGGGCAACAAAGTGAGACTCTGTCTCAAAAAAAAAAAAACAAAAAAAAACAAAAACAAACAAACAAACAAAAACAACAAGTTAAGCCCTCTCTCGCTCTCTCGCTCTTACCCTCTCTTGCCCTTCTACTTTCTGCCATGGGGTGATGCAGCAAGAAGGTCTTCATAAGATGCTGGCCCCTTGATGTTGGATGTTCCAGACTCCAGAACTGTAAGCCAATACATTTCTATTCATTATAAATTGGCCAGTCTGTGGTATTCTGTTAGAGCAGCATGAAATGAACAAGGATAATGCATGATTTGTTTACCTGTGATTTTTGAGGCTTTCATAATTGCTACAGTCTGAATGTCTGTGTACCTCACCCCACAAATTCATATGTTGAAGCCTAATCCCCAGTGAATAGTATTAAAAGGTGGTGCTGTTTAGGGGTGATTAGACCTGCTGTCATAAATGGAATTAATGCCCTTATAAAACATGCCTGAGGGAACTGCTGGCCCATTCCCCCAAGTGAGGACATAGCAGGAAGGTGCCGTCTATGAAGCAGAGAGTGAGCCCTCACCAGATACTTGCTCTGCTGGCCCCTTGATCTTGGACCTCCCAACCTCCAGAACTGTAATACATTTCTGTTATTTATAAATTACCCAGTCTGTGGTATTTTGTTATAGCAACCCAAATGGACTAAGAAATGATAAACCTTTTTGGTGGTTTTCAGTTTCCTTAAAACATATGGAAGCACTTAATGACATTTTTGACTTCACAGAAGTGGAAGAAGATAGCCTATATAGATATGTGCCTATAAAATGACTATCCTTGTTGCCTGCCATGGAAAAGATGTTAAAATGTTGGCATAACCTAGCATCATGTTTTCAAAGTGTGGGACAAGACGAGTATCTATTTTTAATTTGCAAATTACATTGAGGATGGGAACAGAGAAAAGAATTACAGCAAAACAGAAATGTATATGCTGTTTCTCCAAAACTGTTTGGTGATATGTAAAAAGACCATAAGGAACCTAAAAAGGGGAGGGGCTGAACTGACTACCCCAAGTTGCTCCCTGTTATGTGTAGGTTGCAAAAAATTAAAAAAAAAATAAAAAGTAAAAACAGTGAAGAAAATGACTCTTTTTTTTAGAAATAAGATTGCTTCAGAACTTAACAAAAAAAATGTCACCAGGAAAGGACAGCCAAGTTAAACAAGACTTTTTCAATTTCCAGTACTAAAACTATAACTTATTTGCAATCCAACTTCAAATTTCACAAGTTACATGCTTTAAAACCATTTTTCCTAAGAAAGAGAGACTTATGACATTCATGTGCTTCAGAGTGTATAGCCTATTTCTCTTTTCCTTGAATCTGAGCTGATCCTGTGGTTTGCTTTGACCAATGGATAGATATGGCAGAATTGACTCTATGATTCCAGAGTCATAAACACCTTTCATCTTCTGCCCTGAACACCTGGAACCCACACTCTTTTTTTTTTATTTTGGCATATTATGGGGGTACAAATTTTAAGGTTTAAATAAATGCCCTTTCCCCCTCTCCCCTGACAAGTCTGAGTCTCCAGCATGACCATCCCCCAGATGGTGCACATCTCACTCATTATGTATGTATATACCCACCCCCCGCCCCCCTGCCCAGTACCCTATTACTGCAGTACCTATGTGTCCACTTAGGTGATACTCAGTTAATACCAGTTTGCTGGTGAGTATATGTGGTGCTTGTTTTTCCATTCTTGGGATACTTCACTTAGTAGTATGGGTTCCAGCTCTAACCAGGAAAATATAAGATGTGCTATATCACCGTTGTTTCTTAGAGCTGAATAGTACTCCATGGTATACATATACCACATTTTATTAATCCATTCTTGGATTGATGGGCACTTGGGCTGTTTCCACAGCCTTGCAATTATGAATTGTGCTGCTATAAACATTCGAGTGCAGGTGTCTTTTTTGTAGAGTGTCATTGGATCTTTCGGGTAGATGCCCAGTAATGGGATTGCTGGATCAAATGGTAGATCCACTTGTATCGCTTTAAGGTATCTCCATATTGCTTTCCACAGAGGTTGAACTAGTTTGCAGTCCCACCAGCAGTGTAGGAGTGGAACCCACACTCTTGAAATGCAGCTGAAATGTATTAAAACCAGAAAGCATCAGCTGTAAAACTTAAGAAGGAGAATTAACCAACAGTTTCACAATTATTTCCTGGATTAACACAATTAGCATAATAATCTAAATTAGTATATAGGAATCTCTTGTATAGAAATATAAGCTAGAAATGGAAGAAATCGATGAGAAAGTAAGTAATTGTAAGAGTTAGGCAAGTTAAACAGCAAGTAAAAGGGGACTACTGAATGCTAATATAGAACTTCAGTTTCTTTATACAATTACACATTTAAACATTAGAATTAAACTTTTTTCAGAACTCCTGGCCTCAAGCGATGCCCCTACCTTGGCCTCCCAACGTGCTGGGATTACAGGCAGAGCTCCACACCAGGCCATCTAGTGTTCTTTAAAGAGAGTGGCTTGAGGGACACAGAACCAAGAGAGCTGCCCCCTAACATAGGGCTCTTTAGAACTGGTGCTGCACCCCAAATGTCAACGTCAGGGAACGAGGGAGACAGCTGACTCCAGCTCTCCTCCCAGCAGTCTGTTGGGGGGGAGGGGCTCTGCACAGCGCATGTGCAGCTGGCGTGTGTGGTGCGCATCCAGAGGCTCACTGGCCACCTACCTGAAGTCTGGTTCCAGGCCGGCAGGGAAGAAACGACCAAAGAGCACAGAAGAGGTTAAGCAGACTTCCCCTGGCCTGGGAACCTGGAGGATAAATATGAGTCAGCCGGGGAAACTGGGGTGGGGAAAGGGAGGAAGGAAGCACCCTTCTGGCTCCAAGTGAGACCCGAGAGAGCCATAGCACAATTGGAGAGTTACAAAGTTTTCTATCACTTTTTTCCCTAGCATCAG